CCTCTGCCTCCCAAGTGCTGGGATTAAAGGCGTGCACCACCACTGCCTGGCTAAGAACCACACTTAAGGCCTTTGGAATGTCATTCTAACATAGGCACACCTGTACTCTAGGGAATGAGTTTTCTGCTATTTCTTAGGACTGAAAACTGCCCGGCCAGAACAGCACTTTCTCAAGGTGTATGTATATGTATATATGTATATTCAGGCATATGCACATGTGTGTATATATACATATACATACATACATACATACATACATACACACACGTATGTGTGTGTGTGTGTGCGTGTGTGTGATTTACCCACTTACATTTTTGTCTGCTTCTCAACCAGCACTGTAGTAAATGCCCGCCCCAGGGGATCTAACGCCCTCTTCTGACCTCTACAAGGTCACCAGGCACCATATGGTATGTATATATACATTCAGGCAAACGCTTATACACATAAAAGAGCTGGGTATGGAAGTGCCTGCCTGTAGTAATTGTTCCAGAGATTTAGAGACAAGGAGACCCCTGGGGTTCTCCAGCCAAGTGGTCTACCAGAATCAGCAAACTGTAGGTTCAGTGAGAGACCCTGTCTCAAAATAGAAGGTGGAAGTGGGTTGAGGAAAACAGCAGACATTGATTTCCAGCTTCTACCTTCAAGTACATGTCTGCGCACACAAATGCATAAACACAGAAAGCCACCGATGGCCACATAGAAAGATCCTGTCTGAACCTGCCTCCTCTCTAAAAGGCATGCTTAGGACACACTGCACAGTTCCAAACAAATCAGTGCTAAAGGACCCTTCCACCCACGGGGATAACATGCTTTAACCAGCTGCATGTCAGAGCCACATCTCCACCCTGCTCCCCGTGTCGTCCGGCTGTTACTATCATGACTATTAAGACAGGGTGTGCAAGCGAGATTGAGCCTGACACTGGCTATAGAGACCAGTGCAGTTCTGGGCGGAAGACACAGGAGACTGCCGGCCTAGACCCAGGTTCACTGAGAGATCCCATCTAGAAGGACTGAGGTGGAGAGAGATAAATGAAGCAGGGCTCTCGGAGATCTGCTGGGACTAAGGTGTGTGCCAGTATGCCTAACAAAATTAAAGTTTAACAAAAAGAATATACAAACACCTATGAAAGCACTTGCCCAACAGGCAACAACGCTCTGGGAAGCCTGTCTGCAGCCCCAGGACAGCCCTAGCTACTCTCCTTAAGTCTCCACAACCCCGTGCTTTTCCAAAGATTCACAGCTAACCTTTCCAAATAGGCCGATTTCCATTGAGATGACCATGAGCTGGTTTTTAAACAAAAGTAACCAGAATAAACAGCTGTTAGGCAAGTTGTCTGTAACTCTAACAAGGAAATCAGTGAGTTTCATTTCCGCTGAGTGTGAACGGGCAGGCTTACACTCTAAGATCAGAGCTCTACGTCATCCTTGGTGCCTCTCTATGTTCTTTATTTATGTAATTATTTACTGTATATATTCAGTACACAGTCTCTGACGTCACACACACCAGAGACAGGCATCGGACCCCATCACAGATGGTTGTGAGCCACCATGTGGTTGCTGGGAGTTGAACTCAGGACCTCTTACCCCTGAGCCATCTCACCAGCCCCTTCATGGTGATTTCTAACAGAGCCCGGATGGATCTGTTCATGCTTGTACCTTCTTAGCATCTGAGCAGGACCTGACTCAGTATGTGTGCTGAGTGAGTCCATTGCTCCAGTGGGTGAATGAGTGAATGCTGCTTTCTCCCCAGCCAGGATCTCCCAACTTCGGGCTGTTTACACTCACAGAGTACGAGTTGGAGGGAAGCTGGAAGGGTGGGGATCAGAGTTCTGGGGAAGATAAAGAAATGGGCAGGCATAAAACTATCTTAGTTGCTTAAGGCCAACACTATTGATAACTCTTGGTTTGTTTGTTTGTTTGTTTGTTTCTGCAACACAATGGTGACTGTGGCCCTGGCTTCCACAATACCCTGGTATCTAGTCATAAGATTATGCATGGGCTGGCTCTGGTGGTGCACAACTTTAAGCTCAGTACTCTGGAGGCAGAGGCAGGTGGATCTCCATAAGTCTGAGAACAGCCTTGTTTACGTATAGAGTTCTAGGATAGCCAGGGTTACACCCAGAGACCCAGTCACAAAACGAGGAGCACCTCTCACCGAGGACTGGCATCCAGACAATGCCTCACAGCTAGAGTTACAACTCTTGTCACAGGGAATTTAATGCCTCTTTGGTCTCTGTGGGCACCAGGCACACACATATGTGGTAGTCATTTAGGCAAGCCACTCATACACATAAAATAATCTTAAAGAGAGAGAAGAGAGAGAGAGAGAGAGAGAGAGAGAGAGAGAGAGAGAGAGAGAGAGACCTCCCTGCCGCTCCTGGTCCTGTGTTTGTTCCTCTCCTCCTAGCCTTCAGTTATTGAGGCTTGCTTCTCACAGCCCTTTCTCCACGGCCAGTTCCCAGACTCTCATTCCAGCCAGCCTCGAGTCCACCCTCAGGGTTTATTCTTGGTGTTTGGTTGGTTGGGTTTTTGGTTTTTTTTTTCAATTCTTTTCTCTGTTGCTTAGCAGGGTCTCGTGAATCACAGGCTGGTCTGAGTTTACTATGCTGACTATGGGCTTGAACTCTGGCTCAGGTCCTCTGGCTCCCAGCTCCTAAGTGCTCGGGTTACAGGCATGTGCCAAGAAGGCTTGCTTTGTGTGGTCCAACTCAGGGCCTCCTGCAGGCTAGGTGAACTGACTAGCAAGTGAATTACACCCCACACCTGGTGGTTTTGTTTTTGAGGGTAGGGGTTGATGATTGCTGCTGGGGTTGGCTGTGAACTGTCCTAGTGGTGTTTCCGTATCCACAGTGCCGGGAATACAGGCTGTGCAACCAGGCCTACTTTGTTTACAGAAAGCTATTTTATTTTTCTTAAACACATTTATGTGTGTGTGTGAGCGTGTGTGTGGTATGTGTGCGTGTGCATGACTGTACGTGGGCTGGCAGGTGCCATCCATAGAGTGTGAAGGTCAGAGAACTTCAGGAAGCCGGTTCTCTTCTTCCATCATGTTTGTACCGGAAATCGAACTCTGGTCTTCAGGTTTGGTGGCAGGTGTATTTACAAAGCCTCTTTGCCAGCCCAAGAGCAGTATTTTCTTTTTTCTTTTCTTTTTTTTTTCTTTTTTTGGGTTTTTAGAGAGAGGGTTTCTCTGTGTAGCCCGGGCTGTTCTGGAACTCACTCTGTAGACCAGGCTGGCCTCGAACTCAGAAATCCACCTGCCTCTGCCTCCCAAGTGCTGGGATTAAAGGCATGCGCCACCACCGCCCGGCTTTTTTTTTTTTTTCCAGTATTTTCAATGATAATGTGATCATCTTAATTCTGCTAGTCGTCTTCTACATCCTCTGTCAGTCCCTCTCTATTCATCCAGTTGAAATGGAGCTTCTCTCCAGAAGCCCACCCTGCTTCTGCGGTAGTGGTTCCTAAGTCTCCTTTGGGTGTGGTGCCCAGTCCAGTCCCCGTGTCGTCCCTCCCTGTCTCAGGTCTGTTCTTCCTATGTCAGTTTCTGGTCCTCACTCTAACACCTCTTTATAG